CCCGACCCAGCCGGCTCCTCATGGTTTAAAAAGCTCCCTCCTGGAAGGCTTTCCACCGTGATGTTCTTTCTCTCTGGAATGTTCTTTCCGTAGTTAACTCCCGCTAACCCTTCCACTCTCGGCTGGATCCTCACTCCCTCGGGAAAGCCTTCCCTCATCTCCCTAAGGCAAACTCCCTATTTCCAATTCTCTTATCACCACGAAACTCTCCTTCGTGGCACTCACACCTGTTGCAATATCACACTGACTTGCGTGGCCATCCTGCCTGTCTCACTAGGCTCAGGCTCATGACGGCAGGGACCACACCAGGCGGTGGCGTTCAAATGTGGGAAAGACGAAATGAAGGAAGGGACGTTAAGCCGAGTACCTTCCAATGCGTTAGAGGACGAAATCCGGGGACACGCACAGAAATGGGAAAATATCGTGCAAAGTAATTTTTTAAAAAGGGATGGGTCTGTTTTCAGAATTGCGAAATCGACAAAGTGTAAGCGCGGCTGTGAAGCGCGGAGTGCATCCTTCCACTCGAACTCCGGGAGACGATGGATGGGTGTGAAGTAAATTGCCGGAGAGGTACATGGAGGGAATTTAAATAACTTCGAGGCATATTTTCCACACAGGCTTGGCAGAAGGGCTTCCAACGCCGACTCCGTCTAGCAGAGCCCGCAGGGTCGGTAAGGTTCCTGCTTCCTCTCCGCCCCGAGGCCCCCCTTCCGCTCCGCGGGGTCCCCTACCGCTCCTCCCCTTCATCAGCGAGAGGATGGAAAATTCAGACACAATCCGGTTCAGCATCCGGGGCCTCACCCTCCTTTCTTTCTTTCCTCTCAGCTCCGCCTCCCAACCTCCCCCCCCCTCACTCCCCATCCGGGTTCCCCCAGCGGCCACCACAGCCACTCACGGTTCGAGGATGATATCACAACTTCACGCCGGGGGTCCGGGAGTAGCAGTACCCAGCATCAACTTCCCACCTTATAGTTCAGAACAAGGCTCCCCCGGATGCCTACATGAATCCCTCCCCTCACTTCACGATAGCACTCTCCGCCTTCCTCACCCGCCAGCGACACCGCATTGCTCGGTGCAAGAAAATGCGCCATCCCGCTCACACTGCGCAGGCGTCGTTGCCGCCTCCCCTTTGCTTCGTCGCCCCGCCCCTTACCCTCCCCCCACTTCCCTGTCTGACGTAGGCGCGGGGCGTTGCGGGTCTTGCAGTTCTTAGGGGCAAGGCCTCGCGCATTGGCCCCAGAGGCTGGACTACATTTCCCGGGGAGCTATGAGGCGTAACTTTCTGTTTCCATAGAACTGGTGGGAAAATGGCGTCGTTGTTTGTATCGCGGGGACCAATAGGAACAGGGTATGGGCGGGTTGTAAAGAAGTCTAACCAATCCGAGGTCGTCTAAGAGGCCATCCGGGAAAGAGGTAGGGGAGGGGAAAAAAAGTCTAGGGGAGGGGGAGAAAGGAGGGAAGCGGGGGGGCACTTGGGGTGGGGGGGAAGCGATGTTTGCCCGTCAGTCGAGTCCGGAGTGAGCAGCTTAGGCACAGGAGCGGAGGGAGACTCTTGCGCTTAAGCTTGCAGCCGCCACGGCCACCGCCTGGACCTTTGCCCGGAGGGAGTCGCACAGGGTCTGTCGCCGCCGTCCTCTGCAGGGCAGCGCGACTGGGGTCTCGGACCTCCAGTCCAGGAGGGATTTTTCGTCGTCCCCCCTCCCCCCAGCGAGGGAGCCCGAGCGGCCGCCAAACAAAGGTACCAGTCGCCGCCGCGGGAGGAGGAGGAGCCGGAGCTTTAGCCTCAGCCACCGCTGGACCCGCCGCCCTTCTTCCCCCATCTCTCTCCCGGGCCTGCTGATTTTGGGGGGGAGCAGGGGAGGGGACTCTGGACGTGCCAGGGTCGGAGCTTGCCTCCGAGGAAGGTAGGGGCATTTTCTGGGGCTTTCGCGGTCTCGTAAGGGGGTCTTCAGGGGAGTCACTGGGCCCGGCCGGGGAGCCGGGGAAGATCGCTGGGATGGTGTCCCCCGGCGCCCCAATTCGGGGCCTCGGCCTCCGAGGAACTCGCGCCGCCCCCCTCCCCCCCGCAGTTGCAGAGTCCGAGTCGCCCCCCACCCTGGCAGCCGCACACTCGGCGCTTTAGTGCCCCTCGGCCGCAGTGGGGGGCCCCGACCGGTGGGGGGGCTCTGCCGCCGCCCGGCCCCTTGGCGCTCTCGCCGTCCCCGCGGCCGGCAGACGTGGATCCCGCTCGCACTTGTCGGGTGTCCGCCCCAGAGCGGGACGTGGGCTGAGGCTCTGCGGCGGGTTGGTGTAACCCGCGGCCCTCCGCCGCCCCCGCCGTGCTCCCCGAGGCCTGGCCCGCGCCCGCTCGGTCGCGGGGTGCGCAGCCCTTCCGAGGGGGAGCGGCCGGGCCGGCGCGCAGGCCCGCGGGCAGAAGGGCGGTCGACCCAGCGCCGGCCCCTGGGCTTGTAGTGAGTTTCTTCTCTGACAGAAATGGCGTCATTGTCGGAGACGGGAAACTCCGTCGGGTCCCGACAATGGGGACGGGAAGCTGTCGAGCTGTGTAGGTGGTCGGGTTTGCGGGGATGGCGGGGCCAGAGGGGGCCCCGGCTCGGCGTTTGGTGGTTCGGGGACTGACGCCTTCTTCGGCTCCTTGTCTGGGTGCAGGCTTCGCACGGTTCCCTCCGCCTCCGCCGGTGCAGAGGGGTGCCCGTGGTGTTGACGGGGTGTCTTTTGTTTCGCCTCCAGGTGCAGGTGAATCTGGTGCTTTCGAGGGGATCGCGGCCCCAGGATCATCATGAAGGTAAGATCGCCTCCAGAAAGCCAGCCTCGGGGGCTGGAGGATCCAGGAAGTGGGGGGTTTGATCGGGGTCGTGTGAGCGACCCCGAGTTTTGCCGAGGCAGGTGTGTGAGGTGGCTTGGGGCCCGAGCTCGTCCCCGGGGACGACGGGGGTCAGCTGCAGTGGATCTCGGTGGGCTTTGCTGTGGACTTGGAGCCGGTTATAGGCTATCTCGCTGAGGATGATGTTTTTTCCCCCGTATAGAACCTCTCTTTTTGCGGGGAATGAATGATAGGAATAACTGCGTGAATTTAAGTGTTTTAAAAGCAGGTCAAGTAATCTGACTCTAGAAACTGAACCGTACTGTGGTTCTATCGGTTACGCCGATGAAAGAACATCTCATTTATTGTGTGAACAGTACTGTGAATTTTTAGTAGAAGACCTATTAGCGAAATCAAATATAATCTTAATCGAAAGATTTTTCAGGAAAATGTTGGTGATCTTTAGACAACTCAGAGATAGCAGTTGTTCCTCGTATTTCCGGGGATTTAGGATTATATGGTGTGTTTTCCTCTACTGATCCATTTGGTCTCTAAATTATCAGATGCTCTATTGCATTGTGATAAAACCGATGTGGAAAACCGATGGTCAGGTTCCTCTTAAATGTAAACATGTTAACTGAATGTAGGATGTTGTCTAAAAAGTACAATCTACTTAAATGGTAGAAGAAATTACAGTCATAAAAGGACAGGTTTTTTTTTTTTTCACTTTAGAGAATATGTAATTGAATGCTGTCATATTTTTTAACGCACTTGAGGATGAAAAGCCTTAGATATCTGAAATGTCTAGATTCAACTGGTGGAACTTAGAGACTAGCAGATATTTTTCATCCATTACAAATTCACAAGTGCTTGAAAGGAGTACAGGGTTTTCACAAGGATAGAAATGCATCAGTTAGTATGTTAAAATGTGGGTGTCATCTACTTTTGATAGTCCCTTTGAATTTTTTTTTAAAAAAATTATTTCTCTTCAGAATCGGGACCGCTTTCATAGTACTGCATTTAGATTAAGATTTGCAATACTTGTGTTTATGGTGGAAAGTGAAAGCTGTGGCCACTTAAATATTTATCAGTTATACAAAGTAATTAAATTTCATCCAGTTTTTTGTGTGGTTTTTTTTTTTTTAGGTTTTTTTATTCTTGAGTTTGGGGTGCTGTAAACTCCTACCTGAAACAGTTTATATCTGCTGAATTACTATTTCACCTTCATGTAAATGAAAAAAACAGTGATGTTTCAGAAATGAATCCCTTTTGTTAATCACAGATGCTAGCTACACTTTCTGTGACCTGTATGAATCAGTGACAAGTAAATTTATCAGGGAAAACTATGTATCTTCTTTGGTGTTGGACAATAATTTCTTAAGAAAAGTGTTGGGTTGAATAATATATAATAAGTTCAGAAGCTGATTAATACAGGATTTAGTTTGGAATAAATGTTGTAATCTCACAGTTTCCAGTGTAGTGCCTGGCACGTGTCGAGCACTCTGTTAATGTTTGGTTAAAAGAAATGTAGTAAGTTGAAGGTCTTTTAGATTTTAGATTTTCTTACCTTTTCTTTCTTCCTTTCATTTCCTTTTTTTTTCCCTTCAACTTATCTGTTTAAAAAAATGAAAGTACGTTGGAAGCTTCAGCCCTGAAAGTTTCACAGTATTAGGCAAATGCAAATATTTTGGTATCAGTTTAGAACTACTCATGTTAAGGGCTCAGCATTTCCATTATTACTGGCTTATAAAAAAAGTTACTAGTAATGTTAAAAGGAAAGAATTGTTAAAGTAATCGTCTAATTTTATGAAAGAAGAACTTCTGTTATTGTCAGTATAGTAAGTCCTCTCTTTGGGAATCTGCTAGTAATCAGAAGTCCTAAAAATGTAGCTTATTTCTTTCAACTTAATTTTTTATGTTGTGAAAGTTGAGAGGCTGCCCATGATTGGTATTTTGCTTTAACAGAATTGCAATTCAAAAAGTATGTAGTATTGATTATATTAGGCTTAGATTTTCTTGTTTGTGTGTTCCCAGTTTCTATGTTGTAATGACAACTGAGCTGTAGAAGGATTTATGCCAATTATTGGATCTTATCAAACAGATTTGTATTGTGTAGCAAGCTTTTAAGTTTGTAATATGTGTCCTACTAGTCACAGAATTAAATTTTATTAAGTGATAGTGTATTGAGGCAATTCGAAGTGTGTAGGAGTACACTTTTTTGGTTGTTGCTTTAAAGTCCCAAAACAAGGAAAAATATATGTAGCATTTTAAGTGCTATATGTTTTAGAAGCAATTTTCCTGTTAGAATTTACTTAAATAAATAAATAAATAAGGCCTCTTTACTGGCAAATATACTGTATCTCATGGTATTTTTGCCCAGTGTGTTTTTGAGACATATGACTATAATGTAAAAGCAATTTTGTGCTTTAACATAGATCATGATGTTGATGTTATGTTTAGTTTATTTTTCATCTTTTTGGTAAACCTTTCAATGTCACTGATAGCACATTATCAGGAAATAATAGATTATTGAAGTTTATAAATAATTCTGAGACTTAATTATGTCAGATACATTTCCTACTTTTTTCTAAAACTTTTTTTTTTTTTTTTTTGCTTTTCTATTGTGCAGGTTATTAACATTTCTCATTACACTGCAGTAAATTTTGAAGTGGAAATGGACTGGATAGAGTAGACATTTCAGAATCTTTAGGGGATAAATGATTTAGGTGGTTGTACTTAGGATCTGGGGAGATGGGCTTTTTCAGATGTACCATTCTCTCCTCAGTAATCACTGCCTGAGACCACATAAAAATAATGGATTGATTACAAGTGCCTTTTTAAATGTCCTTTGCTGTGTGAGTATTCTCAGTCCCTTTCCCCTTCCCCCCCTTCCTTTTCCCTTTCCTCTCTCTGGATCCCTCCCTCCCTCCCTCCCTCTTTCTCTTTTACCTTTCCTTCCTCTCTTCCTCCTTATTCTTTCCTCCCTCCCTCTCCCCATCTCCCTTCATTTCTCCCTCCCCCTTTTATAAATCATTCGTTTAACAACATCCCCTTCCATGTGTCAGGCAGTGTGGCATGAAGGTAAATACGCTCTCAGACCTGCTGTCAAGGAGCTCACGATTTAGTTGAAGACGCAGAAAAATAAAGCAAACAGTGCATATTGAGTTATAAGAGTATTTTTTGCAATATACAGTATTTGTGATAAGTGCAATGGGAGGACATAAGAGGACACTTAAAGCAGAGAGCCATTGAAAGTTCTCTGGTGGAACTGGCATCTAAGCTGAGGGTTAAAGCTTTTGCTAGGCAAGA